ATTGGCAATACTGTTCTATAATTTGAACACTATGTGAGGTTACTTTTCTTTGGAATTAGTACAAATATGGATGTTTTCTAGTCGATTGGCCATGTGGCTGTCTTCCAAATTTCTTGGCATAAACCAGTCAGTGTTTCATCAACCTGTGGAAACATTTCAAATGGTATTCCAGCAATTCACGGAGCTTTGTCTTTGGCTCATGCCTTCAGTTCAGTTTGGTCATCTTCCTTAAGCACCTTTTGTTCTTGCTCATATGCTACCTCTTGAAATGGCTGAATGTCAACGAGTTCTTTTTGGTACAAGGTCCCTGTGTATTCTTTCCATATTCCTCTGATGCTTCATACATCATTCAATGTTATGTCCACAGAAGACTACATGGTAGCATTTATATAATGCTGCTTGATGTCATTAAAACAATGCTCTACCTTACTGGAAACCATTGTACTCTACTGCCTGCTAGCCTCTACTTGCTCTCAAATAAAAGGAGTCCATATGAGATCAGTTAGAGACAAACGTGGGCCTCCAACCTCCCTCTCTCCACTTACAACCACAGTGAACACTATATATGAAGTAGCGCGTGGACTCCAGCAGCAAAGAAAAATATTTCACATCTCAGTGTTTCCCAGGCTTTGTTGACCTTCAAACTGGGTAATGTTCATTTGGTCCAGTTAGTTTGAGTTTTTACTCTGAACACGTACTGGTCCCATGGAACCAACTTTGAGAAATGTTAATAAGCTAGAGGATCCGGAAAATGAAATTCACGAAGAATTGGGATGCAAAGGAAGATTCTTCTCATGAGACCCTCAAGTTATTTTTCCCAAAGGAGATAAAAAATGCAGATAAATAATTTTTAAATCGCCATTAAAAGCCATATTTATATGTGCACTCTGACAATATCAACGTTATTTTTTATTAAATTCAGTGAAGACCCCTGGTTTACATATAGATGGAGATAAAGTAGTTACTAAATTCTAACTCTCATTTTTATAATATCCTTTGATTTTCTGCTACGCCTAGAAGTTGTTTCTGCTCGTGGGACAAGGAGGTGGGAAGGAATGCATTTCTTTTCACCAGTGGATGGTTTCCTTTTAATCTCCCAATTGCTCAGCCGGGTGGCCAGCATTGTTACACTGAGTGGGTCAGGAGTATGGCAATTTTCTAAAATATCATTGTAAAATAATTTCCCTCAATTACCTGCTGGAACCAAAGATGTAATCACAGATCATAAAGCCGAGCATTCATCAGACATTTGGTGTGGTGCTCCATAGACCAATTAAATCAATTAACTCGTTTAGTCTTGTAGTAAAGTAGAAAGAAAAAAGTCCTGATTGAAAATGAAATGGCGGGTCCTTTTTCTAACATAATCCATGACTTAGCAAAAATGCCTATTCTTCCTTCTATTGCACAGGCCGCTCTTCTCCTAAGTGTAGAACAACTTCTGTAGGAGTGATTGTAGGTTTGCCATTGGGAAGAACACGGGCAATGCTTTGGGTTAGTGGCTAGGTGTCACTACTGAATGAAAGTGGTGTTTCTGATACTGATGCTAAATGCTTGTAGGTGGGGAAATGACCGAGTTGAAGTAGCAGCTACAACTTCATCAATATAATTGCACATAGTAGTGGCAACAACCCCAGCACCGAGGAAGAGAGGGAAATGGAGAGAGCCAAAGAAGAACTGAAAAGGGGGAGGGAAGGGTTAAAAATGAGGAGCTGACGCCAGGGACTTACATGGAGAGCAAATGTTTTGAGAATGATGAGGGTAATGAATGTACAAATGTGCTTTATACAATTGTTTTAGTCTGGGTACTTTGGAGAAACAAATCCACAGCAACTCATGGATAAGAGAGAGTTTTATGTAAAGAAAATGTGCATCATGAAACCATCCCAACCCAATGCTGCCCAAGCCCACAAGTCCAACATCAACCCATTAACCCAACACAAGTCCACAAAGTCCTCCACCTCACAAAACAGAGGTATTGATGCCGACTGCAGGAAGAAAACTGAGTCAGTGAACAAATAAGCATCTCAGCACTAACAGGGGCCTCCACATGACTGCTCCAGTAGCCAGGGTTGCATCGGGATAGATCCATGTGGCTTCTCTTTGGGGATGTCTTGTAGGAAGTCAATCTTGCAAGCTGAAGCAGGGAACTGCTAAGGCAGCTGCACCCTGGTGCGACCATCACAAAGCAAGAGACCCGAGAGCTAGAAAGGCGAGGCTCATCACCCATTTATCCCTCCACCTTTCAATTAGCCCCACATGTGATTATCGGCCAGGGTGGCACAATTAACTAACTCAACAATTGATGTATGTATGGATTGTGATAAGAGTTGTACAAGCCCCCAATATAATGATTTTTTTAAAAAGGAGAACCGAAAAGATCTATGTGGTGAATGCCCCAAGAAATTAAAGAAACCTTGTAGAAACCCGATGCATGTATAAATTGCCTATTTCTGAATTATTAGGTCAATCACAAATCATTTCTAAGTGTTCTTGCCCACTTGTCTTTGTTTTCCTGAATCTGCCTTGGGAAGCCTGGCTTCACAATGTAGCTCTGACAGCAAACAGTTTCTGCCTTCTAACTTCACCCTCTAGTTTGGTCTCAGAATTTTGCATGATGCAAACATGATGTGGCTTCCAATAGTAAAAGTTATCTATTTTTCTCAGGACATAAAAATATGATCTTTGGTTAAAGTATCATTTTAACTGGGAATCAGCAAACATGAAGAACATAGATAAACATTAAAAGGGAAGGGGCAAAGCAGCAGCCAGATGGTATGTTTATGCTATTTCGAGGGTTTGGGAGATCCCAGACTAGGAGTAGGTGGGCCTCTTGGGTGAAGATCCCATTGCTGTGGTTGGAAGGGCATCTTGGGTGGAGACATATACGGTAAAACCTGGAGGGATATATGGTAAAACACACACGCACACTTTAACCCCAGAGTAATCCAGTTTCCTGATCCCTGCCTTGCAGAGAAGCTCCCCATGGTGATCAAAGCAGGCCACAGGCATTGGATAGGAATAGCCAAAGATTATTTTAAAGAACTATTTCAACTGATAGTATATCATACATCTCTAGCTCAGTGAGCTGGATCGATGCACGTAACTCTGGAAATAATTCTAAGATGAATGAATGGAAAAGAGCTATGTGCAAAAGAATGTGGGGACTATGTTCCCAACTGAGTAGGAGTCTGTGTGTGTGGACACATGCATTTATTTATGTTTGTTTGTATTTCTTTTAATATGCTTTTGAAATTGCTGTCAGATTGCTTATAAATGCAATATAGGCTCCAGGTAACTCTAGGACTGAGAAAGATTTGTAGCTGTTGTTGTTAAGGTGCAAGGAGGCTGGTTCTGACTCAGAGCATCCCTATGTAAATGGACCGAAACATTGCCCTGCCCAGCGCCATCCTCCTGGTTATCATGCTACAGCCCATTGTTGTGCCATTCCATCCAGTTGAGGGTCTTCCCCCCCTCCTTTTTTTTTGCTGACCTTTGACTTTACCAAGCATGACTTCCTTATCTTTAATGTCCGCCTATAGTTTCACAATCTTGTCAGGGGCATGTATGTATTCACCCTCCATTAAAAACAAAAAACACAATCTGGTTGTTTTTTAAAATACGAGAAAAGAATGTTCCTTGGCTAGAGACTGAAGCTGTATTTATCTGGGTTGCTTACAAAAAGAGTAAAAGGGAGACTTTCATGGGAAGTTCCAGAAGGTTCTTGTGCTAGTCATCCCCAAACCCTGAGTCCATACACTTGCTAAAGATGCATCATAAGGGTCACCCACAGGGTACACTGCAGCCAAGGAAGACTAGGTCTCTCCATGACAGCCCAAGGCAGGGACACAACAGTAGTTAGAAAGTTGATAGACTACCAGAAATCTGCCTAACAGCAAATATGCTTAGTAATATCACCCATGCAATTGGTGCCCTGGTCAACAATCGAAGGCACCATGCTAAATTCTCTCCTTGGCATTCTGTGTAAATATAATTTCTTAAAATAATCACAGGGCTTTACATCTCTCTGGCTACATCTATTGTGTTCTTTATTTCAACGAATTTCAGAGTGAAAAAGAAATCAGAGGTGCATGCCGTGGTTTGATCTGCACCACCAATCCCACTGCCATTGGGTGGATTCTGACTCGGAGTGCCCCTATAGGTCAAAATAGAATGTCCCCAGGGGATATCTAAAACTATACGTTTCTAAGGAAGCAGATGGCTACAGCTGTCTCCCACATAGAAGTTGGAGCGTATGCACTGCTGACTGTTCTGTTAGCAGCGTTGGACTTTTACCACGGCATTACAAGGTCTCCCTGGACCCATGTTAGTTTCACACACAAAAATTAGGATTTTTAGAGAGCCCATATATTATACTAGCTAATTTTACAAGAGAATTACAAATGCAAAATTTTACGTTTGAAGGTGAAGATATAGTTGAACAATGGTTCTTTTTAAAAAATGTTTTTAAGGGTAATTGATTCTTGGGATTTAAGTGTCAATTTTAAAAAGAGCATGAGTTTAAATGAAAAGAATGAGCTGGCCCCTGCTTTGCCTGGCTACTGACCTTCATTTCATTAAGCTACTCAGGTGAGATAAGTGAAAATGTAAGTAAAGTAATACTTCCTCTTTTCTCTTAACATGACTGACAGAGGTAATAATGAAATTGCTTGACCTTACTGTAAAGTTTGAACTACAATTCTGGGATGCAAAATCTAGCTCCAAGGAAGTTGATTGGTTTTGTTGACAAATACTTGTGTATAAGCCGAGTTTTTTCAGCACATTTTTAATGCAGTTTTTGTGGTAAAATTAGGTGCCTTGCTGATATTCGAGTCGGCCTATATTCGAGTATATACGGTATGCCCTTTAAAATAGAGATCGTTTAATGTTCCAGAGTTAGTGTGGAATGGCTGGCATGAGGACTTACCAAGGGTGTGTTCGCTGTTTTGAGAAACACAATCTACAAATATTAACAGGATCTCCTCTTTCTTTCTCTTCAACAGAAAGCCAGACTGGCCAGGATCCGGGCAGCCAAAAGTGGAAGTGCGAACGCGTACATGCAGAGCAAACGGAATGGCTTACTCAGTAACCAACTGCAGGTACAATCAAGCCCTCCATGTTTTCAGTTGTCCAATGACTTGGTATAAGATTGAATTGCTTTGGCATGACCATGTCACTGTGCAGTAGATATGAAAATACTACTAAACCAGCAGAAAGATCATGTTTTTTATTAATCCAGGTTAAGCATTCCCATGAGCTCTGATCCAGTTTCCCCCAAAGGGAAGATTCATTCAGATGTCCACTCAACCCCGGCCCCACGTGCTTTCCCGGTGTGTGTTAGAGCAGAGCTGTGCTCACAGAGTTTCAAGGACAGATATTCTTGGAAGTCCACCACCAGCCTTTTTGAACATGGCAACTGGGAGTGGATGCAAGCCTCCAGACTTTCAGGAGCAACAGAGCACGTGAACTCTGTTTTGTAACATCGTGCTATGTCCTGTTGTTATGCAATGTTCACCCGGGAACTCCCCAACAGACCCTAGCAGGCTTGAACCGAGACTATTTGATATTGGTCATGATTGAATGACCTCTCTCTACTGACTCATGTTGACGTGGCAACAGTCCACACAGTCTCAAAACCCAAATATCCCATTTGTTTTTATTTCAAAAATATTTATATCCCTTAATGCTCCATTGAGGATGATGCGGCACCAGGGTTTATTTTTCAAAGGAGAAGAAGACTGCTCACTGTAAGAAAGATAACCCCTCAGTGTCAAACAACCACTCGGGAACTTACTTTTGCCTCAAATGGTGCTGCGAGACTTCGAACTGCAGTGAACTTCACTTACAAAGCAGCTTGGATGTCCTTGTTTCAGGTCTATCAAAGTATTAGGGGATGCTTTATTATCCAAAGACAATGGCTTCTGGGCTTACAAAGATAGTTGAATGTAGAGGCAATTGAAATTTTCTTCCCACAGAGGTATGTCTAAAAGACAAGACCACTAGCTGGGCCAAAATATAAACACTTAGCTTCAGACTTGAGAACAAGTGCACATTTATGCCTTTTAGGTTAAAAAAACAAAACAAAAAACTGCCATTTAATCTCAGAAAATAGGCCAGATCTCTCCTGTGGAAAAGTCTCGCAGAGGCTCTCATTGTTTGCACAATAAAAGAGAAAGCTTCTGTCTTATCTGTGTTCACAGGCCTCGGAGGACGAGCAGCCCTTTGTGAGCAAATCCGGCTCCAGCTTTGAAACCCAGCACCACCACCTGCTTCACTGCCTGGAAAAAACCACGGTAAGAAGGAGCGGCCACGCCTGCCTGCCCCGCGCTCCACAGGCATCCCATTTGCTTTCCTGGCTGTTGAATGTTTCCAAGTGGGATTTCACTGTCCATGTCACTGGGAAACGTACTAAAAGTTTTAAAAAACAACAGCAGCAAAACCCATGTCTGAAATTGCCTTGAAAGGCCAGCCTGCCATTTTCAGTTTAAAAGGCATGGATTTGGGATGGTCTCATCCTTCCTGGTTTTCATGACTGCAAGACATTGGTTAAATGCTGATGGCGGGTTGGCTTCTAAGAGCTGCCTGCAAGTTTTACGAAACATGATTTTTGACTGAGTCCTACAATGTTATCTAAACAACCAAAAATGCACCTGTATTTTCACCAAAAAGACCCCACATCCTTGTTTGCATCTAATGTGCCCATGTAGCTAACATGCACATGCATAGAATGCACATACCACGCACACAGCATAGGGAAATAATGCAGAGAGGGGCACTCCATTCGCAAAAACCCACCTACCAAGAAGGGTTATTGGGGGAGCAGTGAAGTGGTTCAAATGGTAGCTAGCGATTCCGGGAAAAAGTGAATCCCACTATCAATCACGGAAAAAGAAGGAAGGGAGAAAGACAGAAAGGGGGGATCCTGAATACAAGCATTTCTTTCACAGGTGGAGAGGTTAATACCATTTTAATGTTCTAATAAAAAAAGTGGCACACAGTTCTCTGACTGCTGGGGTTCAGGACAAAGTTTGCATTGTGCTGACGGGCTCTTGACTGGACCTCTAAGTTGACAGACCCCCACTGCTGGACTAGCATGTTGGTAGGGATTAGAGACTGTCACCACAGAGCAGAAAAGTGTTTCACCACATTATTCATGAGTTGTGTAGATCTTCAACAAATATGTATTACTTGCCTGCTCTGAGACAGACAGTGAGCTAGAGCCAAGATCCACTGTGAAGTCAGACATGGTCCCTTCCTGCATGGAATGTCCAGGAATGGGACCAAGCACGGGTTTATTAAAGAAGGGCAGTGAGGAGCCAAAGCAATGATGACGCCCCAGTGTAGTGGAGCAAAGAGGACAAAGACCTGGGGGTTCAGGATCAGGCCCATCTGCCTGGAAGAACTTGAGTTGAAAAACCTTTACGTTTCCCAGAGCTGCATAATGAAGCATGTGCTGGATGGCCTACTGGGATAGAAAGTTCTTGTGTCACAGTTCTGGAAGATGACAGTCCAAATCAACGTGTTGACCATGCCAAACTTCCTTTAAATCTCTAGGAGGAAAATGTTTCTTATCTTTCCTAGCTCTGGCCACCCTGGGAACTCCTTAGCTGTAGACCTACCCTCTGTGTCTCTGTTTCTCTTGGATAAGGACATCACTCAAACTGGATGAGTACTCACCTTACTCTAACATGACCTCATCTTAATTCAACTGATAACATCTCCCAAGGGCCCATTTCCAAAGAAGCTCAAGTTCACAGTTTCCAGGGACAGTTGTTATGTTGGGTGGAGTTACAATTTAATCCTTAAGAAGAATGAAAGGATGACTGACCAGGAGATACTTAGACAAAACAATGTAGAGGCTAAAATAAAAATAGTCCCTAAGCTTAGGCTGCTAATCACAAAGTCAGCAGGTCAAAACCCCCAGTGCCTTGTGGGGGGATGGGGTTGCTAAGATGAGACTTTCTACTCCCCCAAAGAGTTTTAGAAACTCACAGGGGCAGTTGTGCCCTTTTCTTTAGGGACGCTCTGAGTCAGCAGCGGGACTGAAAGAATTTGTCATTGGCCCAAAGGAGAGATTAGCATGGCAGAAAGGGTAGCAGGGATGACGACCACAGCAAAAGCAAACGCACTGCCACCAAGTTGAGTCCAACTCAGAACTGCCCTGTGGGTGTAACTCTTCATAGGAGTAGAAAGTCTCCTCTTTCTCCCTCCGAGCAGCCTGTGGTTTCCAACTGCCAATCTGGTGAGAAGCCCAACGTGCACGCGCCATGCCACCAGGGCTGCCCAGGGTGGATCAGGCAGGCCCCAGAGGACTTGTGAGGACTTGGGGACTTTGTTTCATCATAAATGGAAAGTTTTTAAGAGTTTCAAAGTGGATCATTACATGATTACATTTGCATTTTAAATGATGTTAGGAACACTTCAATAGCACTATGTTAAATCTTCAAAAATGAAGTATGTTGCCAGTAGAATATGTGTGTTCCAGTTTTACTTCCTGTTCCTTTTCTTTTGTCACTATTTATCATTTAAGATTTTTGAATTGAAAATCACTCAACATAAATTACTGTAGCTGAAATCAAGCTACATATAAAAGATTTTGGTAACCAGTATCAGTTTGACTTCTTTGCTTCCAATTTCTGGTGAAAAATTAGTACCTCGTGCCCTATAACTTGTACATGGTGTGTGTGAAACATGCATGATTAGAAAATAAAACAGATTGTGACTCCTTTGTGTTCTATATCTCTTCACTGAAATGTAATATCTTAGGGGAAATTCTGTCCCTTGTGATTATATTATCCTCTGAACTTTAAACAGTAGAACATTAAATCTCATTTATTTCAAAATGCTTGTCTCAGCAAAGAATCAACAAAACGAGTAACTGAACAGTCTAGTTTCTATTCGTCAGGGAAGTGCTTCCTTTGTTTTACTAATATTTTAGGATGAGAGACGGCTAAGTGGAACTCGGCAAGTGCTGACTATTCCTATCCACACAAAGGAAAGGTGGTCTTTGAAATTATTCTCCAGAAGTTCAAATAAAAAATGTTCTCTTCTTTTTCTGAGTAAATATCTGGCATTGGCATTTTGGAAAGTAATTCTTCATTAAATAATTCTAATTCAAAATTTTCCCTGCATTCCTATAAAACCATCGCTATCAAATGATAACTTACCTTGTTTGTTTCGGGTCTGGAATTCAGGAAGGCTGGGGTGTAAGAACAAAAAATTCAGGTAGCGGTCAAGAACAGAACTGATGATGTCTCACAGAGATAAGATACCAGATCACAGAAGTCCAGTTCTAACCATGGCCAGGTCAAAGATCATGTAACACATTTTTCAGATAACACAGAGTTAACTGGTTTAACTAATAAATCATACGTTTCCAGTTGCTGGGGATTTTAGGAGGTGAATCTCAGGAAATAAGAAGTGTCTTCAGTATCTCATTTTCTCATTAAAATGTTTTCAATTCTGCGTGAAAATCTTTGCTAATATGTGACAGACAACCTGACTTTGGACATTCTATTAGAATAGTCTCTTTACCATAGCTTTAGTTGGTTTAAAAATATTAAAGTCAATTTGACTTTTCACATTTCCACTAGGTAATGTCTGTATTTGTTTTTAATGGTTTATGGGATTTTAAGGGTTTCTTCAGCTTGTACCTATTAGATTTTGTGCTTAATTAGAAAATAACATTTCCATATTATGTCAGTCTAATGGATACTAAATCAGCCTACATGTATCCACTGCAGGGTCTAGCTGCCTAGGTTTTCTGCCTGTACATATGCCAAAAAGAAGAGGCTTTGAGATGCTAACTTTGAAAAAAATAGGATTCGTATGTTTCATGTCCATCACTTGGAAGACTTAATGTTGTGAAGAGATGTCAATATTACCCAAAGCCATCAATAGCTTCAACACAATCATGTGTGTGTGTGTGTGTATGTGTGTGTGTAGTATTAGTTACCTATTGGGTCGAGTCTAACAGAAGAGATTATAGTACAGTTTTAAAAGCAAAGCAACGTGTTTCTCTTTTTTATTAAACAAATGTGTGTCTGTGCTCTCTTGACGCCTTCTTCCAAATTCGGCACAGAATCATGAGTTTGTGGATGAACAAGTCTTTGAAGAAAGCTGCATGGAAGTCGCGACCGTCAATCGCCCTTCAAGCCACAGCCCCTCTGTCTCATCACAACAAGGAGTCACCAGCACCTGCTGTTCACGGCGACACAAAAAGACTTTCCGCATCCCCAATGCCAACATATCAGGGAGCCACCGAGGCAGTGTGCAAGAACTCAGCACGATTCAGATCCGATGTGTGGAGAGAACACCACTATCTAACAGGTAGGTTTGACCTGGGTGGTGTAGACACTCCTGTGCTGACTCCTCCAGGCAAGCCTCTAACTCTGTGTATCTGAACCCGAGCCTCCAGGCTGTAGACCACACTGACACTGTACATAGGAAAGTTGATTTTCTGGGATATTTTCTGAAGGTCAAAGGTAGCAGTGGCATTCTTATCCAAAGACTAGAGAGAAGAAAAGATGGCCAGGCACACACAAATGTGTTCTTACCTCTTTGACTGACCCCCGCATCATCTTCAATTTTGAGCCAGGACCTCGGTACTCAGGAGCCCCTTACAGTGAGTGCCCCGGTAGTCTGAAATGCTAGCTGCTCCTCCCAAAAGACACAACGTGAGCTTGGATAGAATTGAAAAGTACCCATTTCCTAAAGCGACATCAACCCATTTCGCCTACCAGTGAAAATTAAAACAAGGCCTACACAGATCTCTTGAATCCACAGGAAGTTTTGATCAGGTTCTATTGACCGTCTCAAATGCAAAATCAATCCAGTTAAAAAATGCAAAATATTAAAACTGTTTACCTCTGGTTTGTAGACAACATAAGTGCTATTTTTGATGCTTATGCTTTCCCTTTGCTTGTCTTATTTGTTTGTTATTTTTATTCGCCGCAAATATTGAGGTGTAAAAGAAGGTCATGCATTTAAATGGTCCAGGTCCTTCTAAATAATGTTACTTTTGCCTTCAAATGAAACAGCTTCAACTTTTAGAGTAGCCATCTGCTCATTCAGTCCTGATCATTGGTTGGTGTAGGACAATCTAGGATGAAAATGTGGATGGGCTACAGAACACAGCTACATAGATCTACAGAGAGTGGTATCTCTAGGTTCAGTATATTAAAATAAAGACTACTGAAGGCCTCACTTTCTTAGACATTCTGCCCTTGCCTTGTTGACATCACTACAAAACAAGGTAGAAAACGGAGAAGTGTTGAGAAAGAAAATCTTAATACAATGTACAATCCAAACAAGAAGGCCACTTTGGAAAACGCTGAAGTGTTAGAAATAATTAATTTGGGGGGCGGGGTGGTCGTAACATGTGGTCAAGGAGCCGTCATGGTGTGGTGGGAACCTTGTTGGTCTGCTAAGCTCAAGGTCAGGAGCTCTGTGGGAGAAAGATGAGACTTTCTGTTTAGACTCACAGTCCCAGAAACTCCCAAGGGGCCGTGCTCCTCTATCCTGTAGTGCCGCTATAGGTCGAAATTGACTTGGCAGCAGTGAGTTTTGTAAGATGTGTTTGAGAAGCCTTGTTTGCACAGTGGTCCGAGCGTGGCTGCTAACTGAAATGGTGGTGGTGCGCACCACCCCCTGCTGCATGAGAGAAAGGTGTGGTGTCTGCTTCCAAAACCGCAGCCTTGGCAAACCCTACGGGATGTCCTCCTCTGCAGTACAAGGGGGCTCGGCGTCAGACGGGAGCAGGCCCGCCCTGTCCTGTAGGGTGGGACAGGGAACTACTAGTAGGGTAGGACAGGGACCCTACTCCTGTAGGGTCCCACGAGGAGCCGAGCGATGAGTCGGGATTTCAGCTTTCATTTTCCCTTTGGATACTTCGTGTCTTGGTTATCTAGTTCTGCCCTAAGAAAAATAATACAAGCGAGTGACTTTAATGAAGAGAAACTTAATGTCCCACCGTTTAGGAGGCTAGAATTGAGGGTGGAGTCTATGGGGATAAGCGCTCCTCCTCCTGTCTATTCTGAGGGACTGTCCTTGTCTGTTCTTAGCTTCACTTCCTTGGCTCATTGGCGATATTCACGACACAGGGCATCTGTCTTTCTCCAGGGCATCTCTTTCCCCACCCTACTTGCTTATTTGCTACTTTAATCTGTTCTTTTTTGAAGCTCCAAAGAAATTTACTCATAACATAGTTACCCAAATGTGGCCTAATTTTTACATCACAAAGAAAATCCTGTCCAACTGGGATTAGAACTATCGATATAGGTATTAGGATTTATCACACATATTTTTAGAGGGCCCAATTCAATCCCTAGCATTTAGATCAGCGGTTCTCAACTTTCCTAATGCTGCGACCCTTCAATACAGTTCCTCATGTTGTGGTGACCCCCCCAACCATAAAATCATTTTCGTTGCTACTTCATAACTGTAATTTTGCTACTGTTATGAATCATGTAAATATCTGATAGTCAGGGCATATTTTCACTGTTACATATTGAACATAATTCAAGCATAGTGATTCATCACAAAAACAATATGCAATTACATATTGTGAACTAATTACAAATAAATGAAATTTTGTCTTGAAGCATGGTGTAGCATGGTATAGGTAAAAGTCTTTGCGCAAGGTACTCATATGTGGGCATTTCTGCATGTGGGTAGATCTGCCTGGAAATGCATAGAGGAGCTGTGTCTTAGGCCACCCCTGTGAAAGGGTCGTTAGACCCCCACAGGGGTTGTGATCCACAGGTTGGGAACCGCTGATTTAGATAGACTGTCCCATTAAAAATGGCTTTCCAAAGCCCCTGAGATCCTGCCTGAGAGACTTCTTGCTCAGCCTAGGCTTACTAATATGTTTGTGGTCCTTTTTCTTGCACTTTTGTGGAATGTTCTATGTTTGAATAACACTAATGGAACCAAATGGACCTAGATTTTTTGTTTAAAGAGCCCTAGTGGTGTAGTGGGTTACAGGTTAGGCTGCTTTACTGCAATATCAGCAGTTCAAAACCACCAGCCGGTCGGTGGGTGAAACCTGAGACTTTCTACTCCCTTAAAGAATCCCATAGAGGCAGCTATACGCTGCCCTACTCTGAATCAGCTCGATGGCAATGTGTCTGTTTTGTTTCATCTAGTGTTTGTTGTTATTGTTGGGCAGGGGAGGAAGGGTGGGAGGCTTAGGTATCTATTTAAATCTATTTAATACTAATGACCTGATTAATGGTCACCTTACCAAACAGCCCAAACTATGCCATCCAGGTGATTCTAACTCATAGGACAGAGAAGACCCATAGGGTTCCCAAGGTTAAGGGATGGCACATCTTTCTCCCAGGGAGCAGCTGCCGGTTTTGAACAATGGACCTTTGGGCTAGCAGCCAAGTGCTTAAGCACTGTGCCAGCAGTGCCTCTCTGATTACAGTCTGGTGTTCCATGTTAGGCATGGTGAAGACTGCTTATCCACAGTGAATCGTGTACTTCAGTTGTATTGGGGGGTGGGATGGGGGCGGTCTGGGGGGTTAAAGAAAGAGGACTTATTTTCCTAAGTCTTCATTTTTTCTTTTCCCTCATCAGCCGGTCAAGTTTAAATGCCAAAATGGAAGAGTGTGTGAAACTAAACTGTGACCAACCTTATGTGACTACAGCAATAATAAGCATCCCGACCCCGCCCGTCACCACGCCCGAGGGAGATGACAGGCCAGACTCGCCTGAGTACTCAGGAGGGAATATCGTCCGCGTGTCCGCTTTGTAAGCCAGTCTGCATCAAGTCTACAAGGATGTGAAGAGCATCCTGACGCGCGGAAGAAAGAATGAACGAGCAACTTTCTGCACCAGCAAAGCAAGAAGGTTGGTGGGGAGACAAGAACATGGCTTGCAACCTTGAGGCTGTGACTTAAAATGACCAAATGGCATTTCGAGACTGAGCTTGACCAGGTAGACACCGGAAAACCATGTCATCCTTTGACTTTGTGAATGAGCACAAGGAAATGCCACTTTCGATGCTTCTTGTGATCAGAACTCTTTTTTAATAAAATCAACCTTTGAACATCATGTTCCAGTTGAATGCAAAACAAAACAAAAAAAATTGGAAACCATTTTGATAAATTTTTTTCCTGTGAACACCATGAACATTGGCTATGATGAAGATGCTTACATTTAAAGAAAGACAGAAGGAAGGAAAACACATACAGCGCACGTGGATTGACTGACAGAAACACCATCATAATGCATGCTAGAGCTCTTTGGAGCCGTCACCTCAGTTTCCTTATATTGTATTCAGACCAGGCATGATAAACTCTTTCACTGTAGAGCGAGGGAATTCCTGTGCACTGACAACACACTGGTTGCTCATGTCCTGCGGCGGGCTGCGCACATAAACTCCTTGTAGAGCTGCACTCTTTCTCCTGGGGATGCTCCTTAGTACAGCTACTGTGTTCCGATAGTTCAGTATTAATGGTCCTTCCACCATGCACCTACGTACTGTTACAACTGCAATAATTCATTGTACTCCTGTTGTATCAGGAATCAGGATTTTTATTATTGTTTTGGATGTTATTGTACTTTCTGGATCTTCATAGACACAGTAACAGCCACATTCATAGAAAAGAATTCTGCGGTGGCCAGGTTTTTAGGTAACTTTTTAATTCCCCAACGACTGGTGCGCCATCATGTTGTAAAGTGATACCCTTTGGCCCGCTGGATCCCGGTGACACAGGGCAATCTCTGTTCCCGTATTTCTATCGCACCTTTTGAATGGCTTTCACATCATCTACTGGACTCACCTTTGGAGTCCCATTGACTTTCACACTTTTGTATTTCCCAACAAGTTAGCTGGCATGTCGATTACCCTCGCCAGGCCCCTTATCACAACTTAGGGAGCACAAACCAAAAAAATGAGTCGACATCTATAAATTATCTCTAGCCTCTATGCTGTCAAAGACAAGCCCAGCTCTCACGAGACATTTCATGAAAAGAGTTGGCTGGGACTCATCTCACAGGATCGATGATCCCACAATCTCACTTGATGTATTATTTATTTTGCTTTAGATCGCAGATACATTTTGAGAATAACTAATATGAACTGAAATGCGGAGAAAAACTGGATGGCTTTCCTTAGCAATGGGTGGGGGGGCACAGAAAACACAGGCGCCACACCCCCCCACAAAACACAGTACACAGAGATCACAGTACACAGAGATCACAGTGTACATTGCGTGTGCCAAGGAGGGCTTCTCTCCACTGCATGGCAGGACTGGACTTCCCTGATGCCAACTTGATCTCTATGTACATTTAAGTGGAAAGCATTTTTTACCTTTCCACCGCTAAAAAAATTTCAGCAGACATGTCTGCATGTGACACTGTAAAAAGTTTTATGTCAAACAGCAAGTTGTGTTCATTCCGAGCCACCACTATTGAGGAATAAAGTTTAGCTTCCATACATGGAAAGAATTAATACTTGTCCCTTAAGATAGGGATTTTTAAATGTGTTATCATCATTTAATCATAAAATAGAAATGAGTTGAAGCATTTTAAAGTAAAGCCAGAAATGATCCTTACTTCCCATTTCTAGAACAGCTTCTAGAACAGTGCTGTGTTCTCACAGTAGCTGCTCAATAAACATTTGCTGATTGAAAGTAAAATTAAATCAGTATCTCTTGGGAAGAGCTGGCTTTATTACTAGTGTGTCTTTTTAAAAGTTAACTAATCTTCCAGCAGTGCGAATATTAACACTTCCTAACACCTGCCTCATGTCACTTTATGCTTCTACAGCAAATGTATAGTGAAACTTCTTGGATGGAATTTATGGAAACTCTTTCAAAGCTAAACTAAGGAAATCACAATGCAGGAATATACTTAGATGTGTTGATTCCAATGAGAAGTTTTATTTTCATGGCCTCAATATTAAAAAGAAAGGCAGTTAGATGATTTCAATTAACAATTTTGCCTCCTTTTTCAACTTACCATTTTCCCCAGATTATTAATTTCTTTAGAATTTTGAAAAAGAAAAAAAAAACCTTTTTGGTGTTTTAGGTGATTTTAAAATATACTGTGTTGGTGGTGAATGATGATTGATGAGTGTGTTAAGTGCATCTGTATTGTAAGTGAAATGTAATTATTTCCGTGTACCATATGGAGTAACCAGGTCATTTGTTTTTGACAATTTTGTTTGAAATCCATATACCTTATTTCCAAGGATAGCATAATAACTGCGTTATGCTGGGGAAAAAAATAGACCTTTGGAGAATACATAAATAAACCATGTGCATGCTTGAACAGGATGATGTAGTTGGCTGTATGTGGTCCTTTCCCCCTAGACTTCCTACCTGCCCCAAATCTAGGAACACGGACACACTTTACACATAAAATATATTGAAGAAGGTCTCTCCAGAGGGCCAGCCAATGACATATATGTGAGTCTATGAAGGAGAGAGAAGGAAGATGTTGACTTGAAGGGGTTATTTCACTCGACTGAATGGATGGTTGTGGTTCAGTGCCAGCGAGGAGATTCCAAACCACAACAATCCTGCGCCCAACAGAAGGAAACTCTGCCCAGCCCTTTGCCATCCTCTCACTCGTCTCTCTGTCCGGGCCCACTGTGGCAGCCACCATGCCAATCCATCTCCTTGAGGGCCTTCCTCTGTCTCGCCGCCCCTCCCCTTTCCCAAGCATGATGTCCTTCTCCAGGGACTGGCCTTCCCTGACAACATGTTCAAAGTATGTGAGATGAAGTCTTGCCATGAAGTCTCTCAGGAGCACTCCGGCCTTACTTCTTCCAAGAAGTCCACGGTATTTTAGCAGTCCAAGATATTTCAAGTCCAAAGTCCACGGGTCATATGGAAGAGCGCAGGCTTCTCTCCCAACATCCATGGGTCACATGGTTCTGCCAAACTATCTATGTAAACATGGGAGGCACAAAACATCCTAAGGGAACTCCCTTGTCCCCTGATTAATTTCATTCCATTGGATTAACTTATGGACAAGGAGCTCAGGTGGTACAACCATGAAGAGCGGAGTCGCTAACCAAAAGGACAGCAGTTTGAACCTAGCTGGGGGCTCCACAGCAGAAACAACCCGGCAGTCTTCTCCAGCAAGGAGAGCCCTCTGACACAAGGACGGTCTGTCGCATGGGTCTCTGAATAGAAATGGATGACTGCATTACATTACATTACATTACATTACATTACATTACATTACATTACATTACATTACATAGTATTTGACCAAAGCCATACATAGTATTGACTCCGAAAATTAACCATCACACCCTGAAATGCATATAAACTCAAATTATTTGACGATTCTCTAGGTAATGCTTAGACAATTACTTTCTGCTAGCAATTGGGGACATAGGCAGAAACTTCAATGGATGTATTTGTATATTTAAAAAGATAAGACTGACAAAAACAGTCCTTTAAAAAAGTCTTAGCAATGACCACTCAATAGCTACTAGCTGTAAATTTAAATGCATTATAAGATGCCATTAGTCATGAAGAAATATTTTGCTAATATCTGTTGATCTTTTAGGTAATCTTTAGGTAATATTTTCTAATGGAGTGCTCCCAGCAACATGTGGAGCAGTTTACTAGCTCATCCGTGCATCTTGCCCCCCTCCCAAATGGGACTCACCAGGGAGAAGCAAACCACAGTGGACCCTGGAGCTTATACTTCTTCTTTGTCTTTTTTTTTTCCAATTGTGTTGTGATTGAAGTGAAGGTTAACACATCAAATTAGATTCCCCTTCAACAGGTTCTACACAAATGTCTCACACCATTGCTGACAGTCCCTGCAATGTGCCCTCATTGTCACCTTTCCACCCTGCCCACCCCTTTCCCATCCATCCATCCACTTTCCTTGACCTTCCTTGCCTTCTCATTGCAGCTCTGGGGTCAGTGTTGCCCACATGGTCCTCTACAGGGGATTGGTTAAAGGAGTGCATTCCTCACCGGTGTTATGATCTATTTTTTCAGTCAATCTGTTATTTGGCAGCAGAGTGACCTCTCAGAGTGGCTTCAGCTCCGGGTTACAGGGGGCGTTATGATGAGAGTCTCAAAGGATTTCTCTGATCTCTATCAGTCCAGTAAGCAGGACCTTCTTTTAATGAATTTGAGGTTTTCCTACATGGCTCTCTCATCCCAACTGAGACCTCCTGTTGATGCTCGGGTCAGAATGGTTGGGGGTATATACATACATATATATTCTGGGTATCATGGACTTTTCTGGTCTCAGGCTACAAAGACTGTGGTTTGTGTGAGTCATTCGTCCCGTGAACTATTTTCTTTCTTGGTTCTTTTGTTTCCTTCACTCTTTTTCACTCCAGGTGGGAAAAGACAAATAGCTGAATCTCAGGGGGCAACCCCAGGTGTTAAGACACGAGATGCTACTCACCAACCTTGGACAGAGAACATGATCTTCATGAACCAAGTTATGACAATTGACCTAGTTATCCCACGAGACCATGGTCTCAAGCCTTCAATCCCAGTAAATAATTCCCATGAGGTGTTTGGCTGTGTGGATGAAATATCCTTAACTATGCTCATATTGCATGAATACACACACACACGACACATACAAACATGTATACACATATGCCCAATGTTTACCTACATGTGCACACACATAGTCCCACACTCCACTCTCATAACTTTTGATTGTGATTGTTAATGTTGCATGATTATATGCATTACAGCATTTTCCACAGGTGTGCTCTATCCTGGCTTACCTCTCAATGTCTTCATTGACCTTGGTCACCTTGTACTGACCTCCCCAATATTGTGTGCTGCCTTCACTCGCCCCAGGATGATCACACGCATTTGACCTAGTCAATGATGCTCCCTGCCCTTTCCCTGGAAACCACCAAAGAAAATCGCTCTCTGTATTCATACTTTGTCTCGACTGTTTTTAACAGTAGTATCATGAAATATTTACTTTTGTGTGGCCGACCCATTTCGCTCAGCCTCATGTCCTCTGGATTCATCCATGTGATGAAGTGTTTCACAGACTCACCGTTCTTCATCATCATTGTATGTTAGGACCACGTTTTGCTGAGCTATCTGTTGATGAACACTGAGCTTGTTTCTGTCTCTTTGTTCTTGGGAAAAAAGAACATGGGTGTGCTCGTGTCTGTTCATATGACTGCTCTTATGTCCTAGGAGTGGGATTGCTGGGTCATGAGGTAATTTTATTTCTAGGTTTTTTGAGGGAGCACCGCAGGGTTTTGTCTAGTGGTTGTGTATGCCCTTGTCTTCTTAGTGATAACTCCCTGTGTTAAACATAGAGAAACTTTGAGGTAATAGCTCTGGTCAGAATTCAATTAAATATTTAGTCCAAGGCTCTTCTCTGACCAGAAAAACAGACAGGGTATGTATATGCGTGCTTATATGTATACAAAAGGGGACTTCAGAAAGACCATGGAAATTGGAATTAAAAGATAAAGGTCATTTCCATGAACGTTTTGAAGCCCCCTTGTATGCGTGTCTATAAATACACATAGTCCACAAACAGTACCAATAGTTGCCATGCTTGGGGGTTCACTAAAAGGTTGGCAGTCTGATTCCACCCAGAGGTGCCTCAGAAGAAAGAACTGAGAATTGACTTCAGAAAACACAGCCTCTGAAAACGCTGGTCACCACGAATCGGAGTCTACTCACAGCCACTGTTATGTATACATATGTATTTCTTACCTATTTTTAATATGCATAAGCCGATGGCGTCTGCTTAATATCTTGGAGTGGACCAAAAGCAAGGATAGAGAGTGATTTTAACTAATGATATGCATGATTCCTCTAGTGCATAATCTCAATTTTTCCCCCTGTCTATTATTTTCCTTCACAGCCCGTGATTTATTGAGGTTCCAATCTTGCAGCACATCCAAAGGTCCAGCACATCTCCTGATTCCTAGTCACTATTCCTTCCATTTAGTCACAACATTGGCTTGAAAATACCCCCCAGGGAGTTGTGTCAACATTTGCCAGCAACACTGACTAAAAAAAAGGTCTTGATATCAGATAGAGGAATCCTCCAGTTTCCATAAGAAAAGGCATCTGCTTTTCCCTAGAGTGTCCCTAAGGTGTGTGTTCTACGAACTCGCAGGTAGAGGATGGCTATTGCTTTGTGCTATGTAAACGTCATCAGAACT